TATAGGACAAACGGGTGAGATAGGTTTGGGAGGGATAAAGCTGGGGCCACAAGGAGAGCGGCTTTTAATCGCTGGAAGGGAGAATGAATGGGCCTTGCGGGATCTAAAGGAATGGCAGGATCCCCCTCGGCTGCCTTGTAATGTGGTTTTGCCAGCACACCAAAGTTGGGAATCCATAGGCAGAGATACCCTGCAAGCCCGAAGAAGGAGAGGATATCACTCTTTGTGGTAAGAATAGGGAGTTCAGAAAGTAAACTCTTGTGATCTACCGTTATTTCTCTAGTGTTAGGGGTGAGGTGGGCTCCAAAAACAGGTAACCGAAGGAGAATAAATTTGGGCCTTGCTGGGGGACACTCAATATCCCCTGGAGGTAAGGAAATTAAGGAGAGCAACAGTGTGGGCCAGTGAATCCTCATAGGAGGGGCTACAAAGGAGGAGGCCGTCCACATATTGTATTAAAGTGCTAGAGGTTGAAGGAAGTTCAGATAAATCTTGAGCTAAGGCCTGGCCAAAGAAATGGGGGCTATCTTGAAATCCTTGTGGCAAAACTGTCCAAGTGAGTTGTTGGGAACGACGTGTGTCAGGATCAGTCCAAGTGAAAGCAAACAGGTCTTGACAAGAAGGGTGTAGGGGAATAAAAAAAAAAATCAAGATTGAGTATCAAGAAGAAACAGGTGGTTGTTGGGATTATGGATATAAGAGTATAGGGGTTAGGGACTATAGGGGTAATGGGCAAAACACCCACATCAATAGCCCAGAGATCTTGAACCAAGTGGTATGAGCCACTGGGTTTTTTTTTTTTCCCCTTTTTGGTCTTTTTTCGTGTCCGGCAATGGATCGCAACCCTCAGTGTCACGCCCGTACCGGACTGGGACCGGCAACGGGATCGCAACCCTCGGTGTTGCTCCCACACCTCGCTCAGCCAGTGAGTGGGAACCGGTCTGTATGTGGGATCCGAACCCTCAGCGGGAGCGCCACCACGCTCCCAAGCGGCGCACTGTAGCAGTGCACCACCGGGCCGGCCCACACTGGGTTTTTTTTTACTGGAAGGATGGGTGTGTTGTAAGGCAAATGAGTGGGTCATAATAAGATGAAAAGAGAGGAGTTTGTGTATAATGGGTTTTAAGCCCATGAGGTGGTTGTTAACAACGGGGTATTGAGGGATGTGAGGAAAACAGGAGGGATCCCGTAGTCTTATTAAAACGGGGGGGTTGGGGCCGGCCTGGTGGCGCACTGGAGAGTGCGCCGCTTGGGAGTGTGGTGGCGCTCCCGCCGAGGGTTCGGATCCCATGTGGCAACCGGTTCCCGCTCACTGGCTGAGCGCGGTGTGGGCGCAACACCGAGGGTTGCGATCCCGTTGCCGGTCCCCGGTACGGGCGCGACACCGTGGGTTGCGATCCCGTTACCGGTCAATAAAAAAGACAAAAAGGAAAAAAAAAAACGGGAGGGTGATGTGCAGCAATGGAAGGTGAGGAGGTGTCCCATACCCTGGGATCTACCTTGTCTGGGGGAAACGGGGGGCTAAAGGTTTTGGAGTCCAGGTCTGGAGCAGCTTGAGCTAAAAGCATAGTAGATGGAGTTAAAGTATTTAGGGTAAGGGTAGCCCTAAATTTGGAAAGTATGTCCTGCCCCAATAAGGGGGCCGGGCATTGAGGCATTGTGAAAAATTTGTGTGTGAATTGGGTGTGATGTAGGATGCAAGAAAGGGGTTGAGTGATCCATGAGTGGTATTCTGATCCTTTGACCCCCCACTATTGTGATAGTGGACGGGGTTGTTGGTCCTGCATATTCAGGAAGGATAGAGTAAGTGGCCCCTGTATGAATGACAAAAGAGATTGGCTTACCTGCCACGAGGAGAGTTACCCTGGGCTCACATGTAGTGATCTCCATGGGGGCCTGAGGCCCTGGGCATCGTCAGTCCTCCTTCTGGGCAAAGCCAAGAAGCTCCAGTAGGGATGGCCATGAAGCCAAAGGCGGTAGATTGGGGACAGGGCCACTCCCTCTCTGGAGAATGGAACAGTTAACCCCCCAGTGACCTGGCTATTTTCAGTGAGTACAAGGCTCAGGAGGAAGCCTGGGTTAGGACAGGCCTACACCTGTCCTAACTGCCCAGTTGACTGCATTTGAAGCAGTTCCCAGGTGGCTTGCCCCTAGAGGTAGTCGGCTTTGGAGTGTGTGAGCCTTGGATGGCCTTAGGCAGGAGCTGGTATTTGTCCTGATCTCTTCTGTAACTACCTTTCTTCTCCTCCTCCTCTATGGTTAAAAACTTGAGAGCAGCATTGAGTACGTCTTGGGTTGTATTTGGACCATCCTCAAGTTTTTTTTTTTTTTTCAAATATCAGGGGCTCACTGGGCAATGAAATGAGAGTGTAAGAGGGCCATGCCTGCACGGGAACTTGGGTCTATGCAAGTGTATTTATGTAAAGCCTCAGAGAGATGAGTTAGGAACTCGCTAGGGTTTTCAGTGGGTTTTTGTGTGATTTTTGAGTTTGTCATAATTGACTGATTTGTGTGCCGCCTTTTGGAGGCCATGAAGTAGGTGTGTGATCATGTTGTCTCGAAGGTCCCTGTCCTCCTGGCCAGCATGGTATTTCCATTATGGATCCGTATGGAGGACTGCAACAGCTCCCACAGGCTGCCTTTTATTTTGAGCATGTACATCGTTGGACTGTTGTTGTGCCCTTATCCAGACATGTTCCCTGTCCTCTGGAGACAGAGTAATAGTAAAGGTCATGAACATATCATGCCAAGTGAGATCTTAAGACTGGGTGAGCTATCAAAACTCCTTTACATATGTACCTGGGTCAGACTGGAAAGACCCGAAGCATTTCTCAGTTTGGGAAAGATCGGACAGAGAGAAAGAAATATGGACTCGGACAATGCCTTCTGCCCCAGCCATTTCTCATAGAGGATATAGGAGAGCTGGAGTTGAAGTGGTGTCAGGTAGGGAAGGAGAAGACAGAAGGGGGTTTTGTGGCTGAGGAAGGACATCACGAGACCAGGTGTGTGGAAGAGAGGGAGGAGGGGATAGGGATGACAGGGTGTGTGGAGTGTAGGGGTGGGGGTAGGGGAGCGGCATGGTCAGACGGATCGAAAGATTGATCAGCATCAGAAAAGGGGCGTGGGCTAGAAGAATTTGGGAAGTAAGACATTTTTGACAAAGAGATGGGTGAGACCTCAAATAGAAAAATGCCTGAACATAAGGGATTTCTCCCACTTTGCCATTCCGATGACAGAAATTATCTAGATCCATGAGTAGCCAAATTGAAAGTGCCGTTTTCAGGCCCCTGGGATCCACTGTCTAATTTATATTTCGGCTGCACTTGATTATGATATAAAATAAGATGTTTGGGTTTTATGTCTCCTTGTAAGTCAAGTGGCTGCAGGTTAGCTGTGAGACAACCCAGCGGTGCGGAGCATGGAGATCTGATTGAGGATCCCATGGGTAGAGTGAGAAAGAGGGGTCCCCATAGAAGGAAGGTTTACAACATGGAGCATCTTTATTGTCGTATGACACCCTTTTTTGAGAGAGGCCGCTGGCTAGAGGAGTGTCCTCCTGTAACCAGAGGCAAGAGAGGGGTTCCCTTGGCCAGGCACCTGGTCTTCGGGAAGTACAGAACCGTAGTCATAGAAAGCGAATGGGGGAACCCGGAGAGAAGTAGGATAGACCCGCTGACTCACTCTGAACTGAGGCCGGTGTTGGATGTGTTGGTCTGAAAGGGCAAAAGGAGAAAGTCCCAAAGGCGCTCGGTTTCGGCAGGTTTGGGAAGGGTGACCGAGGGCCAATCAACCCGAGAGAATGAGGGGATTGTCCAGCAACATGAGCCAAAACCCTTCCTGGGTTTCGGCATGAATAAGGAAAGTGAGCCGAAATGCCAGGCACCATTCAAGACTTATTGGGGAGAGAAAAATCTGCTGGGCTGCACTCAAAATGGAAGGCAGCAGGGCACCAAAGTTGAAGGAGCTTTATGTTTGATCTAAAAGCTTCAAGTGACCAACTGATATTACGTAGGGAGTGACTTCTGGGCTGATACAACTGGGATGGAACGTTACATTGATGCGGAAGGAGAAAAGTTTCTATTTCGCAGATGTCAGAGAGCTTCTCCTAAAGTGAAGAACGGAGGGGCTGGGGGCTGGTGGCCATTTTGTGCTTGGCCTTGCCAAAAATGGCGCTGGTTATGTTCAAGATCTATCACCTTCCTCCCTCAACGTTCAAGAGGTGCAACAACAGTGGTGCTCCCTATATACTGTGTTTCGGGTCAATTCTCGTACACCCGCCTGCAGGCGCGCCAGCGAGGGGAAGGGCGCAGGCGGAGGGGGGCTGGGCCGCGGGCCTGGCAGGCGCACGTCTCACCCACGCCCGCGGGGGCCAGCGAGCGCTCCCGGGAGCTGAGGCCCTACTACATTCCAGGCCTCGAGCTCGGGGCCGCCGCGGCCAGGCCCGCACCGGGCCTCACCCCTCCCGGCCGAGAACAGGCCCCACCACGCGGCCAGATACCCCAGCGCCCTCGCAGACCGCACGACGGCGGGGCGGCGGCAGCGGGAACAAAAGCCTTGCCCGGGTCTGCCCCGAACGGCACGCCGCCTGGCCCTCAAAGTGACCCACCCGCGTGGGCGGCGGTGCGGAGCGGGCAGGGCCACCCGCGTGGGCGGCGGTGCGGAGCGGGCAGGGCCACCCGCGTGGGCGGCGGTGCGGAGCGGGCAGGGCCACCCGCGTGGGCGGCGGTGCGGAGCGGGCAGGGCCACCCGCGTGGGCGGCGGTGCGGAGCGGGCAGGGCCACCCGCGTGGGCGGCGGTGCGGAGCGGGCAGGGCCACCCGCGTGGGCGGCGGTGCGGAGCGGGCAGGGCCGGCTAGAGGTTCCGGGGAGGCCGGCCCGGGCGGCGGGCCCTGAGCGGGGTTGAGCCGCGCGCCCCGAGGCCTCTGCGGGCCCAAAGCCGCCCGAACCCGCATCTGCTCGGGCCCTGACTTGCCGCTGCCCTCCGGCGAAGCCGGGCCTTACCTGGAGCTGGTTTGGTCGGGCAGGCACCGCCGCCAACGCACTGCAGCGAGAAAGCACCTTAGCAAGCCACAGAGGAGAGTCCCTCGAGCAAGACGCCGCCGCCTCAATAGCAACCCACTTCCGCTCCAGAGGCCTCGGCTCCGCCTGCCGCGCGTCCTCAATGGCCGCTTCCGCCCCTACTTCCGCGGTCTACCGGTCGAGGAGGTATGTTTTCAATCCTATTGGATAAGAAAACCATCTATTATATTTTGAAGCGCGCCTCCTTCCCGTCCCGCGCGCGCGCCCGAGCTCCCGCCTTCCCGCGAGAGTCGCCCCGGCGCCGCTCCGCCCGCCAGGCCTTTCGGGAGTTGTGGTCCGAGGACAGCCCGAGCGCCTGGCCGTGGGTGGCCGCTGGTCGTCCGAACGCGACGGGGCCGGCCGGATCGTGGTCTCCGGAGTCTAGTGGGCTCCGAGCCTTCCAGTTCCCAGGTTACTACCCCGCACACAAGCCGTTGTGCGGCGCCAGCCATTCCGCGCCATCTCCGAGCCTCAGGTTCCTCGCCTCTTAACGAGGCTTTTGTGAATAATGGGCCCGGGGCCCGGAGCCTCTGACCATCGGCTGGAAACCGGGCCTCGATCGGCACATCCTCGGGCCGGGCCCTGGGCCAGGCGTGTCCTCCCGTCCCTGTCCCTGTGAGGGCCTTGTCCCGGGACTCTTGAGACTGGTGGTGGGGACAGGTGGGGAGCACAGCCCGGCGCATCAGCGGGAGCCCAGAGGGACGTCTGGGAGGGCTCCCTGGAGGAAGCGACCTCGGAGCTGAGAACTGAAGGACTGGAAGGAAAGAGGCGTTCCCCGGAGAGAGCCGTGTGTCCCAGAGCCCGGGGGGCGGGCGGGGGTGGGGATCGGCATGTCCAGGAAACCGGTCTGGCTGCCCAGTGTGTCAGGAGCACGGAGATGGGAGCGGTAGAGGTGGGGGCACGAGATGCCAGGTGACTGCCGGTCTGCCTATCCGAACCAACCTCGGAGATTGAGTTATATGTGGGGATGGCAATGCAGATCGAAACCAGAGCTTTAATGTTTTTGTGTTGAGTTCATGAGTAATCTCTGCGTTTGGTATTTTATGTACTGTAAGGGAATTTGGCATGGTAAAGTACCTGATAAACCGGATTCCAATGTAAAATATGAGTATTTTATTTTGATAGTGATTTTAAGCTGAAAGGTGTAAGATTTTCTAAAATTTGTGATCATAATTGGAATAAAGAGAATTTACAAGTTTAAGAGAAATGTATACATTTAATACATCTATGAGAATTATTTAAGTACTGGATAAGGCAGACAACTGAAGTGCTAAAAATAAAAATCGACCTACATGTATAAATACGGTTTCAAATGTTTAAGAGAAGTTCAGTTCATAATTGGGGCCATGGCTAATCAAAATCGTGGTTTAAAATGATCAGATTTATAAATTGAATAAGATTAGTAATTTGCATTTCACAGCCTAAAAAGTTAGGATTTTCTATTTGTAACTTTAATACACTGAAGATTTGATGACACATATCACTTTCATGCTCAAAAGCTGTCTTCAGATCTCCAAACTTCACTTGACATTGAGGTTGCTCCTTCATAAATAGTGCCTCACTCTGGCCCTGAAAGTCCCCAGCTTGTAGAAAAGACTGGCACCTCAGTGCTATCACAGTCCCACACATGGAAACCAGCTAAATGCAGATTCCTGGGCCTCACACCAGATGCCCAATCTCATGGCTGGGGTGTATGACTCTGCTTCTTAACTATCTTCAAAGAAAGAGTCCCTGCCCAAGTGGGTCTCAACAGGGGTCTTCTGGCTAGCCTGCACTCAGGCAGAATGTCAGCTTCCCAGGCAGTCCAGCCAAAAAGCGTCCTGAGACAGCATTTGCAGCACCAGCTGGGACTTATCTCCCTCTGGCTGGCCCCCTTTCTGGGGTCAGCTTGATTCTCTTTCAAAGGGCCCCAAGCTGGGAGAGGGAGGCAGAGGTCTCAGTGTAAAGGGCCTCAGCTTTTGAGGGTGTGTCAGTTGATGCTTTGGAACAAACCACCCCAGAGCTCAACACTTTAAACAACAGGCATTTATTGTTGCTTGTGAATCTACAAGTCAGCAGGGGAGGGGTTCTGGGACTGGCTGGCCCTGTGTTGGGGTCTGCGGTTGTAGAGTGGTCTAGGATGGCCTCTGGGACAACTGGTTCTCTTCCACATGGTGTCTCATCCCAGCAGGTCAACCTGGTCATGCTCCCATTGGGCCCCAATAGAGTTCCAGGAGAACGAGTGGGAACTCCAGGGCCACTTTAGGCCCAGATTCCAAAATGGCACAGGGCCACTTCAGCTGCACCCTGTTGGCCAAAGAAAGTTACTAAGCCAGACCAGAATCAAGGGCTGGGGGAAAGAGACTCCATCTCTTGATGGGTGGTGTAAAGTCAGAAGGCAAGGGTGTGGATACAAGTAGAGATTTTCCCACCAATCTACCACACGACCCCTCCCCTCAGGCTGCAGCTTTAGGAAATGGTCTCAGGCCTGCTCCCACCCAGGTCTATATGGAGCAGAGGCTCCAGGTGCTCTCAAGCTGGCTCTGAGCAGCTGCTCAGTCTAGGAGAGTAGGACAGGGGAGGGGACCTTGTTGACTGCCAGCCAGCATTGCTGCCAATAGCACCTGAGTTTGTTGGGCAACATCTCCCCTCTGCTCCAGAGGCCAGCCTGAAAGGTGAAGGGTAATCCCCTGCCCTGCCACAGTGCCTGTTTCAGGCGCCCAAGCAGACTTTCTCCACTGCAGGGACTGACGCAGCATATGTTCAATTCAGGACAGAGACTGGAGCTGGTGTTCTACGTTCTTGAGACTGGAACTGCTACCACCCTGGAGACAGAGCTCCTGGGTCAGGCACATTCTGAGGTCCACCCTACCTTTGGATTGCCAGTTATGGGAGCTAATAAGTCCCCTTTGATACCCTCAGAGCTCCTGAGGGATTCTCTCTGTACCAGTTACTATCAACGTATTCCCTCCATACCAAATGAAATGGGTTTCAATCACACAACACGGGATGTAAGAAATGTTATGTTTATTTCTTTAAATGAAATTTTTATCTGCTTCCAACTCTAATTGGAAAGGGAGATGGGAATTCCTCTCCTTACCATCCTGGGTAGTGGGAAAGCCCCTGGGTACTGATACGATTCAGAATATCGGGATAGGACTCTGATCCTTCAATCTGTTCCTGCCACTGCTGAGATGCCCACCTTCCTGGTGTGAATGTACCCTGAGGTCCAGCTTCCCCATCTGAGGTGTCCTCTCCTCTGCAGGCCCAAGAAGGAGATGCGGGGGGGGGGGGGGGGGGGGTTTTTTTTTTTTAAT